ATTCGTCGGATACTTTGGATGATATTCGTTGTCGAGCGACGATCAGCCAACATTTCCCAACTTCACGAGCCATTGATTATATAATCTCAGCTCCTAATTATAATGATAATGCGAGGTGAATGAGCAAAAGAGCGAGGGAATCCGGACAATTAGCCGACTCTGGACTCCGGAGATACGGGGTTCGGGATTGAGCGACGTCCGGTACTTGTCCATCGTAGTCCGTGTTTGTAAATTATGGATAAAGGAAAGTCGCAAGCGTTCGCCAGGCCTTTAATAGACTTCGTATCCGCAGCGACATGGCAACGGCGAGACTGCTTGACCCACGGCAACCTGCACTCGGATGTTCGAGGTCGTTCCGCATTTCAAACGCAAACTAGATAGGTCGAATGAAATTCCGCGAGACTTAATCCTATCGCTCGTTCCATCTGCCGTGCTTGATCTTCTACGAGAAAGTTGTCTTAAAATTCTCTTGCGTGAAGATCGTTATTGGCCAATTAAGTGGATTAGCTTACGAGAGGTGGAAATGCTAATTTGTCGACACACATGCCTGATTGCCCGAGGGACGGCGCAGTCGAATCTTTAGGCGTCTCACAAAAGTTCTACTCCTCCACGCGTGTAGTTTTGTTCCAATTGTTCAAGGGCAGGCGCTACCTGGGCAATACCCACTCGCTTAGTTGCTCACGACAAGTTGCCTTTTTCATTTTTCGCCTAGGATTTGGATCCTAAATCCAAATTCTCGAAAGACATTACATTTTTTTAACATACTTCTCCTAATGACGCTTACCATGGGCGGCGATTCTTCAAAACTTCCTTCTACGCGCTAAAACGTTTGAGCACATTTTCTTGTGCTACTCGGAGCGTGTTTTTCAAGCAGTTTTCCTAGAGTTTCACCACACAAACGAGACATATTCGTTGCTCAGATTCACATAGAGTTCTTTAAAGTACTTATACTCGTTCGATTAACGGTGCGTAAAGTATTTATAAGGTAATTATTTCGAGCATTAAATTGAGCATTAAATTATATCGAATAATAAGAGTATACAATTGTCGTTATATAAATTATTGCTTTGTACAATTCAATATATACACCATTATAATATGAAAAAATTCTATTACTTGTCTAGTAATCAATTATGAGATACATGAGCAATACATATTGTTTTAAAATTCATTTAATAACGATCATTCATTATCAACGTACAATATGCCGTCGTATTTGTTTTGATTTTATGTTATTGCTTTAGTAGTTATTGTGCACCACATAGATAATCAATCTGATTTTGGTAAAGCCAGGAGAACACCGTATTCCAATAAAATATAATGATCTCTTGCTGATATTAAAAATATTATCTCAATATATTGGGTAACCATCAGCCATCTAACTTTATAATAATTCAGACAAGATTCAGAAGCCCACAGAACAGCCTATACACTTATTTATGTAATAATATGATTATGTAGAAATAATATTTTCCCATTGGCTTAACGCGCATTAACTTTTATCGCAAATCTAAAATTAACATCAGGACGTTTCGTATACTTATTAAAAACATATAGAATTGATTAACGTATTATCAAGCTTTAGCGAAAGAAAATATATTTAGGAATTGCTTAAGAATTCATTTTTATTATGTTCGTTACATCGATAGGAAGATCATTAACATGCACCAATGCAATTTACTTACAAAAAAACTAGAAACACATCCCATTTATCGTTCGAATTAATTTATTTAGAAACGCTTTTGCATGTAGAAAATACATCAAAATACTTTTTATAATATTATAATAAAGTGATGTAATACTGTTATTATTTATAGTGTTTAAATAATTTAATTATTATTTTTTAGAGATTTGTAAATAGATAGAAATTATATTATTTTATCATAATAGACCTTTTTAAGAAGTTAGAAGACAAATTAACGATACCAAAAAATGTTCATTGCGAATATCATTAATTCAAACAAATTTGTGACATTATTTTTAGAAATTTATTTTGATACGTAATAATTTTCTGAATTTTAACTTATTACGTCTCCTTGTTTAGAGAAAAAAATGTCAATTATTTAAATTAGATAATATATAATAAGTAAATATAAAATTAAAAAATTCGTCATACATAATTAATGAAGTTTTTTTTATAAACTTTTTGTTAGTATTAATGTAACTTTTATCATAAAAATAAATTTTGTAGATAAATTCAAAGAATTTTTTAGTATCAATTATATTAATTATGTAATTTTTTGTTTATTCGCAAGTATATCAATATGTATGACCATTTTACTTGATTTTAGTATAATTATAATGCATCGTTATTATTGTTGTTCATTATTATATAACAATCGTATATGTTAATGATCATTACTTTATTTTAGAACAAGTTTAGACAACTTCGTATACAATATCAAATGGTTTATATTACTTATTGATTTGTCTGATTTTATCTATAATAGTAATTTTGATCAATTGTCAGAATTCCGAATAGAAAACTAAATTTTAACTAAACACAGTTTATTATAATATTAAACATCTATTTGCAGTATAAATATCAAGATTCGTTCCAACTGTGTATTCTGTTCATTTAAATTCGATCATAACACACGCCATCATTAGTTAATGTAAATAATTGATTTTTCATTATGCAGAAAGATTTACTTTCGATGTCGTCACTATGGTATTAGGAAAGTAATGCATTGATCCATATCACTGATATGCACAATTAATTTACAATGCATTGACATGAATCATGCTATCTTAATAATATTGTTTTTCATAACTAAGCAAGTATAATTTACATACTATATAATATAAATTCAATAATATTTTTCTAAAAATAATTTTCTTTTTTATCATTGGCATTACAATTATTGAAAATTTTTACCTTACTTTATTATTATCATAATTGTGATTATAAGTATATAGATATATATATAATATATAAGATTATATATTATACATTTTTTGTACTATTTCTTTATAATTTTCAATCGGATACAGTGTTCACGAATCATATTAACCAATCAATATTCATAAAATTGTATATATGCGTTTACATATGGGATGCTTACTATTTCAAGATTTTTTTTTTTTGCAATTATATCGACGTGAAAAAGTAGGATATATGGACTTAGAAAGTCTAAATTATGAGAAACCGTGAATTTACTTGCAATAAATTAGTCATTTCATTTCCAGTGAAGTAAATTTACATTAATTTATACATCTATAAATATTAAATTTTCAACTATCAACACATACAATATCGTACGACTTATTTGTTTGAACTAAAATGGCTTCAATTTAGTTATTTTTTGTTTTTCATACGTGAGCAGAATATGAATAATCGAAGTTTATTTATCTTCTATGAATATCAATTAAAATAACCTTTCATCATACTAGATAATTTTTAATAATTACATCGCTCATCTACATTTTATTAAGTAGTCCATGGTAATAAGAAGTAATGAGAAAAATATATTTAATGTATTTGATAGTTAGACTAAATGAAATATGTGCATATTAATTATGCTCATAAATATTGTAAATACTTTGTCTTCTAGCTAAAATTAAATTGAAAAATAATTATGTAATTCAACCTTTTAGTAACCTAGATATTTTATTTCTGTATAAATAACATAGAAATCTAATTATCAATACTTACCATTATGTATAGGATACAAAATATTTGTTTTTTTTTTATGTTTTTATGTTAGTATACAAATTACTTTGTATACTAAATCGTTTGTACTGCAATGATTTATTTTGTTCTCATTACATATGTAATGTACTAAATTTAATTAAATTTAAGTAAAAAATGATTTGTAATACTACACAATAAAATGCTACAACTCGCCTGATTCGTATTTACCAATAATTTATAATTATTTAGAAAATATAAATTACTAATAAATAAGCCTTATCAATTAGACAATATAATAATAGCTAACAGTTATATTTCAAATGTATTTAATATTTGAATAACTGTTTAAATTATTCGTCATATTAATGTAATTGATTCGGTCAATATTATGATATTTTTCTAATACACTTTAATATTTACAAAATAGCAATATAAAGTTTTATTGTATTAACCAATAGAATATTTTACATCAGAGTAATTACATTGTCTAAAATTACTTTAGCGTATTAGATATTAAGTAATGTATTTGGTTTATGTGTTTTTTTTTTATTTTTTATTTTTTTATGAATAAATAGAAAAATATCGACTAATTCCACATTTAATCAAATTTATAAGAATGATATTATTTTTATAAATTGGTTTGTTATTGTATGATAAAATATTATATAACATCGTATTTTAATAATATTGATCAATAAGAGTTAATAAGAAAATTGATGCCGTTTATACATTATATTTAAGTAGTATAATAAATGTGACTTTCAGTCAAGCTTTATTATTTATTCTGCCAATTTATTTTATATCTTAATTATTTATTTGCTAATCATTTCAAATGAATGATTATATAAATATTTGCACACTTTAACGTAGGTTTTTTCATCTTTCATTTTCTTTTTTCTTCTTCATAATTTATTATTATTATCATTTATTTTTTTATTTTTTTAAATAAGAATGAAAAATGATGAGATATTAGCAAAAATGGCGAAATAAAATCTGTTCGACTTATTGATCAACGGGGGCGAAGTAAAACACACAACCAATAGTGAATTGGCTCCAAGTGACATATCGAGTGACTTTTTAATCCGAAGAATTTAGAGAGTATCCCCACACTGTCGCCGACATCATCATCGCCGTCTCCACTCTCCATTACCTGGACACGCGATCGCTCTTCATTTTACGTCGACTCACGTGTCGACTCGCTACAGACGCTCGCCGGCCAATTAAAGCGACGTGTTTGCGGAAAAGGCGCTGCGCCGAGATAAAAAAGGACGCGCGGATAGAGAGGCTGACGGCATTAATCCAATAATCGCTACGGTATAATCTAATCGGTTTATTAATCCGTGCGGCGTAGCTCCGGTTGCATGGCTTTTCACTCGGGCACTGGTCAGCGCAGTTTTCCCACTTAGCCGTTCCTCCTTTTATGGGTAAGTCTCCTCTCACGCACGTACACGCGCTATCTTTCTTTACAAATTTCTTTATCTCTATTTATTGCATTCCTTCTCACTTTCGCGCTATTTCTATCCCGTCTACCAAGTGCTTGGCCCTATCTCTCATTTTCCGGGTGGGTATTTGTTCGCACGCATTGCATCGAAGTTGTCGACATTCCCGCGGAAGCTGTTGACGCGAGGATCCTGGTCGTAAGTAAGCTACAATGGGATAGGGGAGCATTTTAAACGAGGAATTACGGGTAATAGCTTTCATTATGCCAAGTGTGAGCATTTTAGGCAATTTTTTCCCCACACATGTTGATTCGTACAATGTTAATACTAATGTAAGTGACATAGAGCATTATTGTAACAAGGAGAAAGCTTGATAAGAAATCGTAAATTACTAGATTTTGACATTGATGTTAATAGTTTGACAGCTTGTCATGTAAAGCAAGTGTCGAAGACGAATTATTACCACACTGATGAATCATCAAAGCTTTTTCTTCCACTGGATTTAAGTTTATATTTCTTTCTTTTCTATACAATATTAACTCATACATTTTAATTACCTGCATATTGCAATTTTCACCATAATTTTAATATCTCATTGGAATTTTTCGCATAAATTAAATGCTTTCATGCGATGAAAGTGTATCCATCAATTTGACTTGGTAGTAAATTTTTTAATGAACTTAATGAACATTTATTTAAATTTTCAAATTATCCTAAGAGCAATCTTTTTGATATTCGTAAAGCCTATAATAATATACACCCTGTTCGATAAGTATTATTTAAAGAAAGATGCAGATATTTAATAACGTTTGATAATGTTTCTATGAAACTTTGTAACTAATAATTATATCTAAAGAGTAGAAATATATTTAAAAATTTTTCTTAATTACATACAAACTTTCAAAAATTTAATAATAATTTTTTTATATAACGTTAAAAAAAAAAATAATGATCACAAAAAGAATTAAAATTAATTTTATCGTGTAAACGTTTTTTTACACATATAAGATATAAACATTTTTTAAACTTTGCTTAAAAAAAATTTGATAATCATATTGTTAAATCCGATTAAGATAACTCCCATGTGACAATTAGAGAAGGAACATTCAATATAATATATATTTTAAGCGGAACACCTATATTTATTCCCTTCCTTTTTGGTTAATATTTTACTAATATTTTTATTTTATCATCATATCCTGCGACATTGTAGATAATATTTACTCATCAAACTTCATTTAATATACAAAAATCGGTGCTTTTTCAAAGAGAAAGCCCACGATAAAATAAAATGTCGAAGTTAAATTCCTTTCACTGCAAAACAGTTTCTCTTATTTTAAATATAAATACTTAATATAAATATGACAAACATATGACATTTAAATATTTACAAATTTCATGATAAAATTACTTTTTTTACATAAATATTATTTATTTATTTTTAATACGATTATATTCTTCAATTGGGTATACATAAAAATTTCATAACACAATGATCAATTGTATATTTGAGAAAAATTTGAATTAAAAAAGAAGAATGAAATTCAAAGTAATCTTGATTTTCTTACTATCATCAAATTAATGAGAAAAATATGTATATTCAATACACAATAGATAAATTAAATATTGTGTTATAATACATTTCGATGCTTATTATATAAAAATAGAATAATATTCATCTTATACAATAACTTTTGTGCATTAATTTATCGACAAAAATTAAAAATCTAAAACTATAGAATACGCATGAATCATCTAGATCTTATATTTAAATCGACGACTTTGCTATTAAATTTACAAGTTCTATAAAGTATTAAAAACAAAAAAATCATACTGTTATATTCGTTATTAAAACCATATTATTAAATCGTACATGCGTCATTAGTAATTAATCGTGTTGTATAATTTATAAAGTTAATTTGAAATTAAAATTTTTATCTACATTAAAAATCATCGTAACTGTTTGAATAAAATAATTTTACATTACCGCACGGTCAATCTACAGCTGTAATGGAATATTTAATAAATTTTTAATTTTAACAATTTAGTTAAAAGTATTAAATTACATATGGTTATAATTAATATGGTTGTAATAAAATAAAATATTTTATGTACAATATTTATAACATTTTATCAACATTGTACAAATGTGTAATAATTTTTTTTTTCTTCGAACAATAACAATTTCATATTAAATAATCATTTACAGATATATTTACAGATAAATAATATTACAAATAGTATTTTTCAAGTACGTTAAATTTTATTCTATCAAAGTAATTTAAGAAAAAAAAGGAATTTCAAATTAATAATGCAAAAGATTAATAACGCACCTATAAATTTATTTACATTATTTTATTTTAATAGGCAATTTAAATTCCTATAAAAACGGTAATTTGATTTTTTCGACATTAATTAAAATTTAATGGTTTAAGTAATGTAAAATATTCTCCGTATTAAATATGTCTAAATTACCCTTATATTAATAAATTTATTGAATATTAGAATTTTATTAAAAATTTGAAATATTAACATTCTTTTACCACAAATAAACTAATTATATTAAATTTTTTTTTTGTTTTTTAAACATTATTTCATTCACATTCAATTTACAAAGAATTCATAAATACTTACTAATAAAGCGTATATATGAATTTTATATAATTAATGAATTACTCATTGAAAAGTAGCTATTAAATTTATGTAATATAGCAATATATTTCTTATATTATGAATAATTAGATGAAACTCAAATAAATAATTTTTAAATTGTATAAACAACCAATAAAAAATTAGAATATCGAGAACAGAAAAAATAGATATTATTTATGTTATTTTGCATAATCATTTATTGAATATTTGATTATTCTAATGAAAAAGGTTTCAAAAATAAATGACCAGAAACTAGGAATGGTGCTAAAAAATTCGATACGTCCTAGAAAATTATGCTCCAAGAAAATAATATGGCTGGTAATTTAGGATAAATCCAATGTAGGACATTATAGCTAACTTGGTAATTTATAATCTAGCAAATCACTGATCTTTAATAAGAATTATATGATTTTCAATAAAATTGATAAGAAAATGATAGTTTCGCTGAAATTATTAATGTCCTAGTAATAGATAATAAAATGTACGATTCCTTCAAATAAATAAAAACTGCACCGGTGATTTTGTCAGAGTATTTTGAAATAAATGATCTTAATTATATTTTTAGATTATGACTATAAATTATGAAATATCATATAATGAAATTTATATATGCTCATTAAAAAAAAAAAAATCGCTATGATTTAAGGAAATATTTTATTTGTTTGATTGTAAAGTTGATGAAAACTGAATAATAAAATAATTGCAATTGTCATCTTTGCCATTAATTTGGTTAATTAATGTACCAATTGATGACTTTTATAGAAAATACTGATTTTCAATAAAGATACACGATCCACTAATCTATTTGATATTATATGTTAATGCACGATAGTATAAGCGACGTATGATTAAATTTATTGAATTATATTCTAAAATATATTTAAATTCCTGGCATATATTTTTTTATCGATTTAATTTATTTATAATATTTGGAAATTAAAAAAAAAACAGTTTAGAAATTTTATTCAAAATAAATTTTTTTACCCTATTCGTTGCATTATAGAAAACAATTTTTTGAATGCAAGAAAATATCCGCTTTCTAAATAATTTTGAGTTGAACGCAGTAAATATCAGTTTCAGAAGAAATTTTTAAAGAAACGAGAAATAATCGTTAAAAGCATAAGTTTGTGATTTGAGAATGCACATTTTATGCGGCTTCTCGTGCAATCATAACAGAGGAAGTTAGAGCCGATCACAAACGATTTCACCAATTAGTGACTCTATACAAAGCAGGGCACCTTTCCACTGCAACAAATAACAAAATAATATTGATTAAATTGAATGGATAAAAAGTAATCAATACGTGTAGCGCTCGACTTTTTCTCCGTGTTCTTTTCCTTCTCTCATCCCATCGATTTCGTTTCTCCCACTTATTTTTCATATATAGTTGTTCCCATACAGTTGTCTGCACCACCTCAATGGTTAATCAATCTTATACAATTTATCTTTGAGTAGATTGAGTAGTCGAATCTCCGACCCCCCCCCCTCCCATTCCCCATCCCTCCTCCCCCTTTCACAACAGATTGCCACTTCCGCAAGAAAATAAAGTTCTCATTGTATGAATGCGTGCTCGGGCAGCGTGAAGTCGTGGAACTTGATGTCCAGGAAAATAGGATGCAAAGTCCAAGCGCTGAGTAAGGAACTCGACTATATTTTCTGGCGAGATATGTGTAAATCACCTTAATTCAGTCGTTCTTATAAGTTAATTTTCGAGACGTGCAATGAATGAGCCTGTCTCCCTCCTCTTTCGCAAAAATGTTTCGCTTTTACATTAATGTGGATATTAATTCAACCGAGACGTTCTCAACCAATACAAGTGCGAGGAATTTTTTTTTAGACGCACGGCTACATAACATTAGCAATTAAATATAATATACGAACCTTGATTGCATATAAATCACTAATTGTGGATTATTATTTGGAAATAATGAAAATGGAATTACAGTAATATTTGGTTAACGGTGATTCGATCAGGCTTACATAACGATGTATTTTCACGTGTAATTCATCAAGTGCAACTGTGTTTTCACATATATGCTTTTATATATTATAAATTTCGTTTTAGGCACAGTGGAACGAGTATAATCAGAGAAAATCCAATTTGTATCATTAGTCCTTTTTTTCCTCATGTTTCTTGACCACAAAGAGAAACTATATTTTGAATTAAGTAACTGTTGTCAATAGAAAATATATTTTTAAACGCCAAAAAAATATGTACTTTCTCTACAATAACGATAATTATTATTATTTACTTAAATCATGGGCAGTTGTTTGCTGTTATTTGCAATGGGAGGTCTTATTTTTTTATTCGACATTTATTTTAATTTGCTTAT